ATCTGGGGCACACAGGTCACACGAGACAAACCAGGTGTGCAGGTCCAATAATGAAGAATGGAGACTGACCACTGGAATGAACATGGATGGGGTTGGGGAACAGACAGAAGCTGCTCAGCTCCAGCCAACTGCTGTCATGTAGGAACCTTGACTTGATTGTCATTAGATTGGCTGATTTTCCAGAGAAGTCAGAAACCTTTTTAAATGGGGATTTCAACCTTTAATCCTATTCATTTTTAAAGACCTTTAAAGCAGCTATTAGCTAAACAAAACACCTGCTCTGACTGACAGTGGTAGTCCTCTCTTCGCTGCCAGCTGCCTGGCACTTGGAAAGGCCGAGTTACACACACTGAAGCCTTGCTGTGAGCGTTCTGTGCCATGGGGGCAGTTTTTCTACTCCACAGAAACAAATGCTCAGGAGTTAGCTCAAGCTCTCGTTCTTCCTGTGAGCTTTTAAGTTTGGCTTACAAGTCTCTGAGTTTATTTGCTTTTAAAACAGAGTCCCAATTACATTTAGACTCCTTTAAGTATAAAAATGGCAAATATATTTGATGTGTTTATTTTCTGTTTTGTTTGAGACAAGGTCTTGCTATAGCCCAGGGGGCCTAATCCTTTCAGCAAAGCTGCCCAAATGTTGGGGTAACAGGTATGTGCCACCACACCCATCTTTGATTTCTTTAAGTACTTCATTTATCTGACCCCAACTAACTTTCCTAAGGATTTAAGGCAAATCTTAGTTATTTTAAATGTCCCCAAACTACACAAAAACAAGTGAGACTTAAGCTTAAAAGTCATTTTAAATACTCAGTACTTTTTAAATGTTGGCATTACATAGCAAACCAGCTTATCTTAAACTCTTTCCCACATGTCAAGGACTTAAAACACAAATTGAGAGGCCATGTGATAATACATACTTATTATGCCAGGACTTAAAGGTTGAGGCAGTAGGGCAGAGTGAGTTCAAAGTCTGCCTGAGTTACATTACGAGACAATCTCAAGAAAAAACACAAATCAAAGCCCCCAAAAAATCCCCAAACCTACAGATTATTTGAAGTGAACAGTAATGATACGGGTTTGATACACCTAAATGGGCTTACTCTTCATTCTGAGGCCTCCATCACATTCTGCTTATCTAGTAAGGAAGCAAGGAAGTCCCCCATGTACCTGGGGCTACTGTTTGGATGCTTGAGATTGCAAAATAGTCAGAAACTTTGGTTCGGCACCGACAGAATTCTGAAGGAGCCCAAAACTCCTATGTATGGGCGTGTAAAGCACAGCTGCAGGGTTCCTGTCACAAACAAAGCTGGCCGTCAGTCCACATGCTGGGCTGATTCTCCTGCACCTGGTTGTGCCCGCTCACTTAAGTCTAGAACCCAACTTAGGTGATTTACCAAACATCTTGACTGGTGCACTTTCTTGACTCTGAAAATAATTAAAACACCTTCCCACTTTGATAATGCCTGCTTTTTATTTCTTCTCTCCGTAGATCACCACGTCTGAGATGTCCAGATGAAGCCTGGCTGGCTGTGGATCTCCCGGCCTTGGCCTGTGGTCACAGTCCCCACACTTGTGCTGACACTTCTCTTGCCTCGGCCCCTTTGTTCTGTTGTCTTTCCCTACAGCACTCGCTGGTACCCTCTTTCTCAAGACTTCACTTCTAGGTCTACTGTATGCACCCTATCCCCACAAGAACTGGGAGAACCCCACGTTCAATACTGTGGAGTTCTACCCCAAGCCCCAGTGACTGTTCTGACTCCCTTGGGACCTTAGATCTCCCCATAAAAGAGAGGAAAAGCTGTCACTGTTTATGCTAAGACATGAACAACCAAGTCTTCCCTCCTCTGCTGGACAAACCAGCTGCCTCCAAAGGAGGAAAGGAAACTAACCTTTACTGAGCACTTAGTGGGCACCAGGCACCAAGTTAAAAAAATCTCACTTGTCTCATTCATTCCTAGTAGCCACATGATGGCACCTGTTGAAGTACTCAAACTCAGAGACAGCGAATTGACAGGCAATGTAAGTAAGGCAAAGGTAAAACCAAGATTCAGACCTAGTCTACACAACTTCAAAAGGGTCTCTTGCATACACTGCTTTTAGTTCTTAAAGAAAAGTCCAGCCAGTCAAATGTGGCAGAATGATGGTATTTTGATGAAATGCTGCCTTGCTGATTTCCAGCTATGACCGTGACAAATTGCAATCTGAAACTGTCTGAACGTTTTTCTGTAGCCCACCTCTACAGAAGCTCCCCTAAAGCCTCACTGTCAGGAACATCTCAGGATCGAGTCTTTACAGCGCTCATTTTATGTAACACTTTCACCAACTCTGGCGACTTTAAAGATGGAGGACTAAGGCACAGCAAGACTAACTAGTCGCCTACCCTGTGCTTTAGTTCTTCCACTCAGCTGCAGGACACACACACACACACACACACACACACACACACACACACACACACACACACGACCGCGCGTGCACGCCCCTTCCTCTGTTGTGCGGCTGACACAGCAGCACAGTTTAGGTCTCCACTCTTACCCCAGGTCTTGTCCTGGCGGGACCCCTCTTTGACCCAGCCCTGCCTTTTGGATTCCCGGTCCCCACCACCACCTTCTCTTCTCCATTTTTGCTTTCTTCACTCTTCTGTGAATTCTCGGGGAACTGTACCTGGAGAATCAGGGTAGAGTCAGGAAACTCTGCTATCAGCAGTTTTTCTTCATGCACCAGCAAAACACTATAGTTTCCATAATCAACACATTCCCCTAGTGCTCACCCTGAGCTGAGTCTGTAGCTAGCCTGACAAACCCTCCATGTTGCAAGCTACCTGTGATTTCACAGCCACACCAGGAAGAAGCTGAGGCCCAGAGATGTCACCTTACTTAAGCTTAGAGTTAGAAAGTGGTTAAGTGGGAATTCAAACTCACAAATCGTGTCCAAAGCATTCACATCAGTACACCAAGCAAGTCCTTGTGAGAACAGCCATGCTGACTATAAAGTAGTTTTGCTCAAGTAACAGAAGTGAAATTGCAAAGATGTGCAGAGGCAACACCTTCTGGCCTGTGGCAATCTGCCTGCAGACTAGCACAACAGCCTGTGACAACTTGGTTTGCACCACCGCGGCCCTATTGTGACACAATGCACACATGAGTGTCTCCATCCAGCCCGACTGCTGTCACCAGCTAATAAAAACCTTTAAGCAACTCCCTTTATTCCTGGAGTGAGAAAAATAGGTCTAATATATTTTGACTTCACAGTTCTGTATTTTTATGTTGTAGAAAATGAATTCTGTGGTGATAAGGTTCTTGTTAAAGCTGAAGTCACTGGCAAGGGGAAGGGAATCTTGAGCAGGGGTGGATGCTCACACCTGTGCCCTGCTCAGGTGCAGACAACCAGGCATATCTTAAGACTAGACATAGGCCCTTAGTTGGGAAGCTGGATGGAGAAGAGGTAGACTCTGGGAAGGACAGAAGGCTGACCCCTGGAGGCTAAGGAGGACGGCTGAGCTCTCACCGTGATCATCCTTCTGCTAAGCCTTTCTTCACCTACCTTGTTTTGTGTAACTCTCACCAAGTGAGAGTTACGAAGAGATCAAGTCCAGCCAGTCTGTCATTTCCCCCGAGTCATGCAGAATGGTAGACCCAGTATGGACTCTTCATTCTCAGCCTCTCTCCTACACTGCACTACACACTATATACTCAAACGGAGTAAAAACCTAGTCCCCTACCCCCCACCTATGTACTGACTTTGGGTTAATGTGCAGAGCTCCCTCAAAGACAGGATTGACCTTAATGAGCAAGTGAATAGGTCTTAAGCAAACAGAAGAAGCCGGTAAATTTGGCTGGTGCAATAGAGAAGCCAGCCAAGGCCCAGGGCCAGAGTCACACAGAAAGAGGTGACTGCAAGGTCACTCTAAATGCCCTGCAGCCCAGAGGGATGGCTTGGCATAAGGCATCTTCCCCCATGGGGCTGGTGCCAGAGCCTTGAGAGGCTGAGTGCTATGAGGGGATCACCCAAGTCTGGCACCATGAGATAAGGGATGTGGTAGCTAGGGGTGGTACAGAGACTCCCACCCAGTCAAGAATACCTCAGGCTCAAGTCAACACTTTCTTCACAAGGTCTGCTCAGAGGCTAGACTGCATGTGAGGACAGCGGGGCACTCCAAATCTATCTGCCCTTCACGACCAGTGTGGGGCAGCAACCAAACAGATTTCCAGATTTCCAGGACTAACCAAGGGGTTTTATTCTTTCTGTATTCCTACCTGGTCCTTTCCCTGGAGTGACTCATGGCAAACCCTTTGGACTAGGCAAGGGCAACCTGGGCAGAATCAGGCCTTCTATTTTTCCTGCAACCCCTGGGTAGCCTGTCTTCCAGTCACCAGCTCAGGCTGTATCACTTCCTGCAGAAGGCCTACCCTTCTGGGAGTATCCAAGTTGAGTCAGGTGCTTGTCCTTATGCATCCTTAACTCCCGTCCCTCCAAACTTAAAGCATTCAGGACAAGGGACTAGTATGGTGCCTGAACAAGAGCACTTAACAAACAGTACCTATTAATACCCACTCATTTTTCACAATTTTCATTCCTTCTGCCACTTAGCATACTTGTAATTTAAACACACTGAATGGCATAAAGTGAACCAAAGGGGCCTCAGCTGTTATACTCTCTTCCAAGGAATTCAGATGTGAGTGATGACAGGACCTTGTGACAGTCAGAAGTGGCCCACCAGGGAGGTACTGGTATGAGTGGAGGTGGGTGCTCACATCTGTGCCAGTGCCTCAGTATGTGAGGGACAGGAGCTTCTCCAGGGGGAATGGGGAGCCACTGAGCTCCCCTGGCCTGTCAGTGAGGTGCTCAGAGCTGAGGGCATCTCCCCAGGGCCCAGGCTGCTATGAACAGGAGTCTAGCTGACCAGGCAGAAGTGGCTTGGAGTTAGGTACCAAGAGGATGGGTCATTGGAAATCTGTTATACATCACTGGAGGCAAGTTTTTCAAATAAGTCACATACTATAAACCACCACCACCACAGCCATTTATTAAGTGCTTGCCAGGCACTGTGCTAAAGCTTTACAGACATTATTTCAGTTAATCCAGCAACCCTGAGGTAGATATTTTCAACCCCCCACCCCACATATTATTATAATAAAGGAAAACGAGACTCAGAGCGGTTAAAAGAATCAACCAAGGTCAAACCCAGCTGGTAAGTAGCAAGCTAGAAATGTGTACCAGACCCCAAAATGCATGCTTTTAAACACTGGACTGTTTCCCCTTGAAAGTTAAAGGACACACATTCCTTCCCAAAATGACTTTAGGTGAGGAGGGAGGGCAGTTTTAAACTGACTTCTTCAGTCAGTTCTTGTACTTATTCTCTTGGAGGAATGGAGTGTCATCCGGTGATACGCTGACCACTGGGTCCCTCTCTTGAGATCCCTACCATTGCAGCCTTCCTCAAGGAGGCCTCCACTCTCGACACCAGCCTACTCAATATGCTGCTCCCTTCTAGCAACCTCTGGAACGCAGGGCTCTGTCAAACTTGGTGACACTGAGCCAAAGACCTGAGAGAAATTAGGAGACATTCAGAAAATGTCCCTCATCCCTGAACTGCTGGACCCTAAGGCACAAGAGCACATTCGATGGAAGCACAAGCTCACTCCTTCCAGCCTGGTTCCCAAGCCTGGCCTCTTTCTAGTGGTCTCTCCTCTCCAAGTCCTTTCCCTTTTGAGGTCCCTCCCCAGTTGTCTCCAAGGCATCACCACTTGCAGGCCCATGGGCCTTGAGGACACCAGTTTCTGAGCCTTTATTCCTCCAGAAGTGTCCCAAAGTAATCAGCTGGGCTCCACTCAGGACCCCATGGACCTTTAATTAAACAGAGCTGACCGAAGGACAGGCAGAAAAGGACCAGCAGACTGAGACAAGCTGAACCAGCATGTAAAGACAAAGGAATGGCAAGAGCAGACAGAACACAGACTAACCAGGGACAAGTCAATGGAGCTAGCTACCTGAGGTCAGAAATGAAGAGGGAACAGGGAGAACCCTGTGGAGACAGACCCTAGAGCCAAGCAGTCCAGCACTTGTAACCAGAGTTTCTCTGAGGAATAGCCTTGGTAAAGAGGTCACTGAAAGCCTGGGGAGGAGCAAGCCCAAAGACCCATTTAGAGGTGCATTAAGAGGACACCAAGAGAAACAGGTAGGAACAGGAAAGGCCTGGGCCTCTCTACAGAACCTGAGCTACTTCTATCCATCCCCACACCTACCCCATCTAGAAAAACTGGTCAGAGGGTCGCTGCTGGTAGCCCTTGCTCAATTCTGCACCAAGTTCTGAAGGGTGAAAGACAACAGAGGTAGGGAACTTACCAAGGAGTGAGATAGCACCATCCTTGGGAAGTTCACATTGTGAAGGAGACAGAAACCCATCCTAATCCTTGAGGGCCTGGGGTCTGAGGGACACACTAAGCATGAGGACTACTTCTTGGTGCAGACTGATATTGCCTTAGGCATCTAAGGGACAGAGAGTGAACAATGAGGTAAATCAGGGACACCGGAAGATCTAAGCTGGATTCTCCACACCTCATTAATAGTTAGCCATGTCACTGTGTCACTAGTCTTGGAGGCAGGAACCTCGATGTCCCCACAGCCACAGATGTATTCATGCAGAGTAAGTCAACGTTGCTGAGCGGCTTGAAGGGTAAGTATCTTCCCGGGAGCCCCATGCTGTCCCATCCTCTTCCTCTAACAGTGCCCACCTTGCCCAGATCTCAGCTCCCTACTTTCAGATGTTTCCTTTCCAATTCCCGGACGTGCCTAGGGTTGATAAAGAGCAGGTGTCCTGTACAACCGGAAGTGCTGGCCACAGCTGGGAGACCAGCAGTGCTGACTATTACAGAAATAACAGTAAGCACACACCAAAACCACCCTATTGTTAGTCCTTGCCCTAGGGCTTGTATTTAATACTTACTTATCTATCTTTAACTTTGTTGGCTCATGCAGAATGATGTCTGTTTCTAAGTCCATCTCAAGCTGGGATTGGACTCCTAGCCTGTGAAAGCATGCAAGCTCCACCCACACTTGTGGGAACTCCAAAAGGGTACTTGGCCCAGAAGGTACTGCGGGTCAGAGATAGGGAGTGTCTCCCCATCCTGGGCTGGCCCACTAGTAAGGATCCTTCCCCACTCCGTCTCCTAACAGATTCAGATTAATGATGGCTCATTCCTAATTGTCAAATTTCTTTTCCTTCATCCTGTGTCTAATCACCAGTGACAGAAACCATTACGCAAATGAGAGCAGACGACTTCCCCCAACTGTTCGCGTTGGTAAAAACCTTGTAATTTAGAGCTCTGATTTGTAGGGGAAGCTGGTCTCCCCCAGGCATCCTGGGCATCTGCTCAACTGATGCCCAGAAGAGCCCCTCCTCCACCCCATAACTCCAACCCCCCAGCAAATATTTGATTTCACAAAACAGTAGTTTTCACTGCAGTGCTGGTATAAAAATGGGATCTTGCAACATGGCTGACCCCTAGACAAGCCCAAGTCTCCACCTTCCTTGGCACACCCGACTCCCATGCTGCGGGTTAGAATGGGTAACACTGCAGCAGCACTGTTTCCTCTGCTCAAGCCGAGTGTGAACCCAAACAGCACTAACCTAGGTGAGAGAAGAACATGCATCTCATCTCCAGGAGGAAGAGACACAGCGGAACATGAATCCCGTGATCTAGAACTACTTCAACTCTGAAGCTGAGGCATGCTGAGAGGAGCTATGGGACCTACATTCAAGGGTACACAGTACCCCTCTCCCCAGCAGATCTCACTCCTCTACAGTTAAGATGGCTTTCCAGCTTCCATGTCTCCAGCTGGAGCCTCCAGAGGCTTTCAGCTTTCCACACCCTCTTGCCTGAGCCTGCTTGCACACTGACTAGGAAGAGGACCGAGGAAAGGTTCAGAAGAAATGAGGGAGGAGCAGGGTAGGGTGGGTTCCAGCCAAGCAGACTGGTGTGACCTTGACTGTCACGCTTCATCCGCTCTGGGCTGTTTCTTCATCGAGGGAGGGAGAAGCCACCATGCAGGACTGTGGGGGACAGAGCTAAAGGCAACAGGCACACACCAGGTGTCTAAGATCAGGTAGCTATCACATCATACCAGCATCAAGACCAATCCTGCCACCGTCCCAAAATTGACCTTCTCTCTCCTTGCCCCCAGCCACCCTAGATCAGAGCTGTATGAGGCACAGTACCATGAAGGGTTCCCTCCTGCACATGCCAGCACCTTTAAGGGCGGAGGCGGGAAGACAGACCTGCTGAGAACGAAGACAAGAGCCTGCCCTGGCCTGTCTTCCTGCTGCCCTCCTTGTTCCCAGAAGAGATGGAGGCCATGGAGTTTACTACAGTCACACTGCCCAGCACTGGCTGTACTTGAAGAGCTATACTTGAGAAGGTTCCAGGTCTGTACACCCACATTGCATTAAAGCCCCCAGAATGGGGGACAAAAGACCCCTCCCCAAAATACATACACAGGTATGCACAGGCATATGCATGCACCTTCTCAGTCCATGGGGCATTGTAAGCTGAACGTCATGGCTAAGAGCCACAGCTCAGACACTAGAGGTCAAACTCAGGGGGATGGGAGTAAAAAAGTGGGGAAGAAGGGACGAAAATTAGACTTCCAACTCAGACTTTAGAGAACAAGATGAAGGAGAAGGGACTTGAGGTAAGTGGACACAGGGCCACCACTCTGCCAAACTGCAGGGGCCCCATTCCCTCTGAGCAAACGTGAACGATGGCACTCTGCTGTGTAACACTGCGCTGCCCAGCTGTAAGCTGCAGCCCTGAGGAGGGCTCCCTAAATAGCTACCAACAGAAAAGCGGGTTCTATCCCCACGCCCTCCACCAGCCGTCCTACACTAGCTGGCATACGACGTTGTGCTGGGTCTGGCAGAAGTGCTGGCTCCAAGAGGCAAGAGGACACTTTTGCCCTTGCCCTGAGGTGGACGAAAGGTACTGAGTTAGCTGCCTAAGTCTGATCCCATTTCATCTACTCAGCCAAGAAGCTCAGCAGGTGCAGGGGATGTGGCCTGGACAGGGAAAGACAGACGACCTGGAGGCTCAAGCCAGTCAGCTTTAGGTAGGCTGCAGTGAGATCTGACCAAGATAGGATGGCTAAAATCCGAGTTCAAAAGCTAGAGGCTAAGTCAGGCAGTATCTGGGGTTCACACTGCCCTGTCACATTGGACAAGGTAAGCAGTAAAGAACCTTGGTAAGCAAGAAGGGTGGGAAGTGTGAACACACACACACGTGTGCATATGTGTACACACACATGCAGAAGTTCATACCCCTGGAGCCCAAAGAAGTCAGAGCTAGGAGAACTCCCTCAATGCCTAGCAAAGGGGCAAGAGCTGGTACTGAAAGAACAGCTGCGTGTGTCTGTAGTTTGGAACATACGCACAATCCTCTGATCTTAGGTTCCCAAGGTTTCCTTCTATGTATGGCTTGAGTTTGTAGCTCTCAACCGGAACCCTATCTAATCCTCATCCACTAGAAAGCTATCTGGCTCCCAAAGACAAGGCTCCTTCTCAGTGTCCCCATTAGGGACCCAGCAGCTATTGCTACCTGGCCTGTAGCCTGACTACGCTACAAAAACTGCCAGAGGCAGACTGATGAGCAGATTCATTCTGGCACCACACCCCAAATGTAGTAGGGATACAGGAGCATCTCCTCTCTCAGGCTGAGGCACTGAGGCTTCAGGAGACAGGAGCTGAGAGCCAGAAGTGATATCCTGACCCAGGAAGAGGAACAAGGAACAGATACATGCATGTGTGTGTATACACATGCTTATGAACACATGTACACACACACACACCCTGAGGTTGACAGACTAACACAGACATGATGACAACCAGAAGCTGGGACTCCACACACTGATGCAGGACTTTAGGGGGGTGAAGAGGGAAGGTTCTGGGGCTCAAGAGGCAAGTGTGAGAAAACTTTCCAAATGGGAGTGGAGTCAACTACCCTGCCTCGCCCCAAACACCTGCCTCCAGGGCCATGGCAAGAGTCCAGTCCATTAAGTGCAGCGTGCAATACTAGTGCTTGGAGTGTCCTGTCCTCATCAACGAAGCATGTGGACGAGCTAGCGGTCCCCCGGCAGGAGGCCTTGACCTCTGCAGGTTAGTTGTAACGGCCTTTAATCATGGTGTTCAACAAAGGCCCCACCTGTAAAGAGACACGAGGAGCCCATCAGAACCGCCTGTCTCCTGATTCTGGAGACAGTCAATATTCAGTCATGGACAAGGACGCATGATCACTGGACCTTGTAAAGGCTCTAATCAAGTTTCCTGACTATCAACTTAGTATTCTAGGGCATGACCCTTTGGAGGTCCATTTTATTTTCCCTCCCCTTTTACAATACCCTGTGTATCTATCTATAAGCAACACCCATCAGACAGAAGATGGTCTGAGGAGCCAGTAACCCCCCAACACCTCAAAGTGTGTTTGCAGTTTCTCCGATGCGCCTCAAGAACTTGAAATGCTTCTGTTCTAACGAAGGCCACCTGCATTAGTCTTGGTGCTCTCAAGGCCTCTCTGATGTCGAGGCTAACCACTGGGAGGAGGTAAGGCAACTAAAATTCAAACCTCCTTCTTTTACCTGATGGGCCAGTGATATACCTAGGTGAGAAGCAGGACTCAACACTACCTACAACAGCCCTGGCCCAGCTGGGAGAGCACAAGGAGCTGCGTTATTATACACTTCCCATTCCAGAAAAATCCTCTCAGGGGTCCCCAGATGGCACATATGCCCCAAGGCAGACATTACTACTAGCATGGAACGGATTATAATGGATCCACCAGTCATGCCCAGCTCTCATCAGAAAACAAGATTTCCTAAATATACAAAGTCAATGAAGAGGACAGCAGCTACTGAGACAAGGGGATCTCCAGAGAATGTCACCAACCCTTACCTCCTGTGGATTCCCCAAGGCCTCTCCAAGCATCTTCTCGATGTTTCTCATGATGGCTACTTTCTGATGAGCTTTGAGAGGATATTCAATTCTCTTAGGGGTAGGAGCCCCCTACAAAGGAAGCATTAGCTCAGCAAATACCTTTAACACAGGCTGTCCGCTCTAGTACCATATCCTCTTCTAAAATAATAGTTCAGTTCATTCCTCTCCATCTCCCTGCAGGTCACTCCCAGGGATAACCAACAACCCCATCCCAGCCAAGACCACTCACTACACTATGCCTACTTCACCCCAGGCCCAGTTCCCGTTCCATATGGATACAGACACAAATAAAGTAAATGTCTGTGTGTGTATATCAGTAACGACAACAACAAAACCCTACCAATATTCACCTTATACCAGAAGTTCACAGTGATGGTAATTCCCCCATTTAGTAATGACTCTATGTGGTGCCACCTATTAAAAAGAAAAGAAAAACAAAGAGGCTCCTGTTTACTTTCCAGGACAAGGATGGAAAACGACTGTAGTCCAGCTAAGGGAAATAGTAAAGACAGGAACGTGATGCTAATCCTGTAAGACACACAGTGGGCTAGTGGCTGTGGCGTTGTCTCCAAATATTGGAGAGGAGGATACAGGGAATACAGATCTCTCTGGACTTAAGCAACTGTCTTCCTTTCTTAAGAGACAGAGTGGTCCTCCAGGCTGAGTATGCTCATGTCTGGACATGCTAATCTTCCTGCAAGCTAATCCTGCCACAACTGAGAAGGGACACAGATAAAGCTTTCTGGGAACAGGAAAGAAAGTATTCCCAAGAGGCCCCATCCCTAGCCTCCTCACCAGTACATTGGGATGTACAGAACATCACCAGGGCCCACCACTGTTTCATAACCAACCACATTTCGGAAATTGGGGAAACTCTCGTAGTCAGGATTGTCAAAGTCCACCTAAGGGTCAAGAAAAAGAAAAAAGATCAGTCCAGTGATTGCTTGCTATGGCAGCTTTAAAAAAAAGAGAAAGAGACTTAAAACATGATTTCAGAGTTTGTATCCAGAAGATACAATGGATATTATTAACTGCCCCTCTCAGAGAACAACTTAAGGAAGTCCATGCTCATTTGTTACACGATAAATAATTCTAGACTTCAGTGCTCCTGAGCTCTGAAAAGCTCCTCAAAAGCCTTAGGATATGAGGAGTTAGGATTCATCTGTCACCCAAACCTTTCCAAATATTTTCTCCCAAACAAATCCTAACCAGAAGACTCCTACATGAAGTAGTAAGGCATCTTTCTCCTCAAGAAGAGGATGTCCAGGGAGCTGGAGAGATGGCTCAGCAGTTAAGAGCACTTGCTGCTTTTGCAGAGGACCAAGATTTGGTTCCCAGCACCTACATGGTAGCCTCACAACCTTCTGGAACTCCAGTTCCGGGGGATCCAACGTCCTCTTTTGACCTCCACAGGCACCAGGCATGCACATGGTGCACATACATACATGCAGGCAAAACACTCATACACAGAAAATATTTTATTTACCTATCTCCCTATCAAAAAGAAGTAGCATACATGATAAAAGAAAACAATTATTAAAGTCAGTGGAGGCATTCATATTTTGATGAAACTGAGTCAAAAAATAAATAAGTGATCTGAGTCCACCAACATTAATGATGGAGCTTGCCCCCCAACAATTAGCTCTGTTTATACTTACAAATATCTGGGAATTATTACAGGAGCCTGGAACATGGGGGCTACACTGTGAAATGATTCTCTGGCCTTGTTTGTAAGGCAAGACCAGTCAGTAATGCTGACCTGCCATACCCGCAAAGGGAAGAGCAACAGTATTCCGGCCTCCGGTCTCAAAGGCGCCCTTAGAATCTAGAGCTCTACCCCCTCTTCAGACCACAGAAGCTCACCTGGCTCTGCCTGTCACAGGGATGATGGACAGGGTATGGATAGAGGCACTCAAACTGATCTGGAGGGAATAAGATGCAACGCTTGTGGCCTTTTATCTGGGCAAAGAAGTTCTGTTGTTCATCATAGTGAGCAGGTGTCACATTTCCTGTAAGAAAAAGACATTTTCTTAGCTGAGGTAGTGGCTCTACCACACAGCTGAAATGCAGACAGAGCCTAGTGCTGGAGTGAAGTCTAGCTGGCCCCCCAGCTAAAAGTTAAATTAAATCTGAAACAGGATTAGGAAATTGCCATTACAACTCTCAGTAAACCAGGTATTACATTTTGAGCAGTAAACTCTAACAACCATCACTGGGTAAGACATCAGCTAAGTAGACTGTCCTCAATGGTGGCTGATGCCCTTAGCTGGCAGCAACCATGAGAGACAACTGGCGGGACTGGTACCACAGCACACAGTCCACTCCGGTGCTAACTACTCACTTTGCTTCTGGAGCCCAAAGGCTCTCAATGGTGCTCTCACTTCACCACACCGATAGGACACAGCACCACGCAGAGCAACACTGGGACTCACTGAGGCTACTGACCCAATGAGAGAAAGATTACTGAAGAATGGGTCGTAGAATTTAAGAGACATTGCTTAGAATGCCACCTTGCCAAGGCCTTGTAGTGCAGGCCTGTAATTCCAGCTACTTAAGAGTCTAAAGCAGGAAGGTCATAATTTCAAGGCCAGCAGGGACCACTTAGTGAAAATGTTTTTAAAATGGTTGGGACAGCTCAGTGGTACAGCCCTTGCCCAGCAAGCACAGGGCCTACGTTCAATTCCCAGCACCACAAGTTTAAATACACACACACACACACACACACACACACACACACACACGTTGTTACCTTGGATTAGTTCTGCCATAATGCACGTTCCATCTATTCCTGTATACCCAAGGTCACATCTGTATATTCTATATTATCTCTGAGTTTAGAAAACATTCCCAGATGGACATGGTGGTACATACTTGTAACCCTAGCACTAGGGAGGCGGGGCAGGACTGCTGAGGCTACCCTGAGCTACATAGTAAGTTCATAGACAACCTGGAGTATATAGTGAAACCTCGCCACAAACAAAACAAAACATCCTGCAGGCTAGCGAAGTATGCCAAAACAACTGTCTTCCTAGTGCTGACAGTCCAAGTGCATCCTCAAACAACAGAGCCCTCACATCTCCACCAGAGGCAGCTGCTTCCCTGCACCTGGCCACAGGAAAGGAAAGCAATGGGATTAACTCAGAATCAAGGAAACCAGAACTATATTCTTTCTAAAGAGCCAAAACTTGGTTTTAGAGAAGCAGATAAGTTATCAATTCATAAGCTGCACTGTGGGAAACCTATTTACTATGTTATCAACCATCCAAACCTGAGGAAATACCAACAAAAGAAGACTGAGGAGCTCAATTAGGTCAATGGTATCAAATAATTATTCTGTTTCTTTGTTCAACGAAGTTTACTCACCACTTATTACACAGCTCTTGATGGCCCAGCACTGAGCTGGTGCTGGAAAAGAAAAATAATAATCCTGTCCTGCAAGCAGTGTTCCTTCTCCTGACCAGCACTTAGACACTTCTACTCAAAACAAAAAACAAGGGGCTAGAGAGCTGGCTCAGCGGTTTGGAGCACTTGTTGCTTTGGTAGAGGACCAGGGTTCGACTCCTAGCACCCACATGATGGCTTACTACCATCCTAACTCCGGGTCGAGGGTATCCATTGCCCCCTTCTGATGCCCACCTGTACCATGTACACAGATGGTGCATATACACACACATGCATGCATGTAGGCAAAACATTATACACATAAAATTAAAATTTTACAGACCATTAAAAAACTCAGAACACATTTTACATATTTATTTATGTGTTTTTAAAATTCCCAGCAAGATACACAAACTAGTATACCATGAAGTGCCTTTAGAGAGGGAAACTGAGAAACTGGGAGTAAAGGGAGAAGACTGATGGCTAAAATCCATTTATATCCTTTCAATTTCAACCCCATAAATATATATTTAAGAGATAAAGTTTTAGCATATTAGAATAGTTTCTGCCAGGCATGGTAGCACACGCCTTTAATCCCAGCACTCAGGAGGAGGAAGCAGGTGGATCTCTGTGAGTTCGAGTCCAGCCTGGTCTACAGAGTGAGATCCAGGATAGGCTCCAAAGCTACACAGAGAAACCCTGTCTCGAAACAAACAAACAAACAAACAAACAAACAAACAAACAAAAAAGACTGCATGACATTACTCAAGAGACTTAAAATATACATTATCTCATTTAATCTTGGTAGCTATTTATAAGATCTATCTTGTTCCTCAGCAGATGAGGGGGCTGCAGCATTAAAAAGTTCAGTGACTTGTTCAAAGTTATGGAGCTAGTAAGTGGAGGAGACAGGATCGGAAATCAGGTCTGCATGATGTAAAGCCATGCTTTCCGAAGCATTTCTTACCTTCCATGCCAATGAGCAGCAGGTTAGAGGTCAGTTGCCCCCAGCCACGTTTTCCCTGTTGCTTATTAATCCAGTTCCAGTTAAAACCCAAGAAGTCCATGACAATCTTCCTCCCCACGGTGTCATTGAGCGTTTGCTGCAGATACAACCTATATCCCCAAGGGAAAAAAAAAACCATCAGTATGTGAGATGAGTCCTTGGTATGACCTCTGTTTGGAAGCTCAGATCTGCTACTACATTCCCAACAGAGAACAGCTGTAGTCATGGAAGACTTCAACACGGTTCACAGCTGAACTCTTTCTCGCTGTCTGAGCTCTGCTCCACAACAGGCTCTTAAGGATGAGATTCTTAACCTTCTGGGTCACAGTACATATTACCTAAGAATTGAAGGCCTCATTTAAGAACGTGCATACACAGAGAAATTTCATACAATTTAGTTTCTTGGAAGCCTATCCACACAGTCTATGATGAATCTGACTTCTTTCAGACTCTCAAGATCTGACACAGTTCCTTTGGCCCTTGATGAGCACTGTGGCTGATTCTAACACTGTTCATACTACCAGTCCCTCCTTGTGGAAAGTTAACTCTTTGATGCCCACGTAAGACAGTCTTATTTAACTTTCTTTGATCAATGAAATGTCCACAGAGGGACTTGTATTGCTTCCAGATACAATTTTAATAACAGTCCACGTTACCCCATTTTTCTCTTTACTACATCCAACTGCAATTCCAGATTGTAACTACTGGGACAATTGTGTCCAAGAATCAACAAGATGATGTGATCCTAGACAAACGCACATGAGAGTGAAAAACAAGGAACTTCACTGCTTCAAATTCTAACAGTTATGACACAATGAATTAGAAATCTCAGCAACTTGGAAAAACTAGCTACAAGGAACCTTCAAAACTCTCTTATAATAAGAGGCTGGCCTTCAATTCTTGATTTTTCTGCCTCTACCTCCCGAGTGCTGTGATTACAGGCATGTATCACCATGCCTGGCTGTAATATACATATTTACAAAACAAAACAAAAAGAGTTAGAGACACTTTCCGAAATGAATAGAAGCAATACTCCTATGACAACTGAATAGTAAAAGCTCAACTATCTCACAGCACACATGTGGAGGGGAGAGGACAATTGGTGGGAGCTGGTTCTCTTCTTCCACCATGCTGGTCTTGGGAAGGAACTCAAGTTAGCAGGCTTGGAACTCAGCACCTTCACCCACTGAACCACCTCACTGGCCCAGACATTTAAAATCTATTCACTTAGGGACATACTGCTGACAGGAAGTCAGAAAGAGAGTCAAGAGAGGAGACTCCAGACATGGCCATTCCAATGTAGGACAGTGACTCACTATTAAGTACTCAGCAAAAGATATTCTCCAGGGACAATTTTACAATGTGGGACTGACTGGAACCTATATAGCTGGGCTGTCCTCAGAAGTGGAGATAAAAACCAAGAGGAAGAAAGAATCACTCTCCCAAGTGATTTTTGGTCACCGGTACAAAACAAGCAATCTGTTCTGATCTTCCCAAAGCTAAAGGATCCTGAGATCCCTTAGCCCCAAATCATAACAAACTACTTCATTTTTCTGCATGAGCGGTCTCCAGACAGTATTCTAGAACCAAGACTGCAAACTGTCAATTTCAGGGCTAAGTCCAACAAGCAATCATTGTGTGTGTGTGTGTGTGTGTGTGTGTTTTAAAACTCGTAAGCGGGGCTGGAGAGATTGCTCAGCAGTTAAGAGCACTGAGTTCAATTCCCAGCAACTACATGGTGGCTCACAATCATCTATAATAGGATCTGATGCCCTCTTCTGGCATGCAGGTGTACATGCAGAGCATTCATACATAAAATATAAGTAAACAAAATTAAAAAAAGAAGAAGTCAGAAGGGGCTAGAGACTAGGCCCAGCAGGTAAGAGCTCCTGCAGAGAGGACTGGGGTTCAGTTCCCAGGACCCACGTGACAGTTAACAACTGTCTGTAACTCCACTTGCCGGGGTGCCTCCTTCTGGCCTCCATGGGCACTGAATATACACGGTGCACAAGACAAACACACAGGCAAACACTCATACACGCCTTTAATCCCAACACTCAAGGCAGAGGCAGAAGGATCTTTGTGAGTTTGAGGCCAGCCTGGTCTATATGGCAAGTTCCAGGCCAGTTGGTTATAGAGTAAGACCCTGCCCCCCCCCCTCCCCGGAACCAAACCAAAACCCGAAACAAAAAACCAACACCCATGCACTGACTTCTTACTTCAAACAGGATGTATGCCTTCAGCTTCGTTAAGACTTTCTGCCTAGACACATTCAAGCCTGCCTTTCATCTGTCTGACCCTGCAAGGTAACTGTCACTCTCACTACCTAAGATAAGAAATTAGATTCACAGTTTAAGGCTAATGCTATTCTCATCCTTCACGCTTCTACAAAGAACCACCAAGAGCTCAAAGCCCTGACAGGATAGTAGAGCAGAATATCCATCCGGTCAGTAATGGAACCCAGATGCTGGCGACACCAATCTCTTCTCACCCAATTCCACCACACCTTCAAACAAGTACAGGAACATAGATCCCCTAATTCTACTCACTGGGCAACTTACCGCTCTTCTCCCCCACGCTGCTGTATGTCCTGTAGTTTCTCAACAAACTCATGAAATTTAATTTCCTCCCTGTTGGACCTTGGCTTAAAGTTCTGGAAATTAGCCATCTTCTTTTCATCATAGTATAGGAACTTATGGGTGCTGGCACTGTACACAGAGAAATCTCCGTTGCCAATATTCTCTTGCAGGTATTCTAGGTCCCACTTCAGAGCAGGATACACAAGGTTTGTGTCGGTCAGCACCACAGGCTCCTAAGCAAGAACATCAGAAAAATCAATGAAGTAATTCCGAGGAGCTAATGATTTCTCTTCGACGGTATCTGTACTTATCAAATTCACAACAGTTCTCCTGCCGAGCACTCCTGACAGACCATCATCTCTCCTTCCCGCCCCGTAGGTCTCAGTCCACAACCGGGTCAGGCTCCCCCCTCTCCCCATGCCTGGGTCCCTTCCTCCTCCACCCCCCGGCCGCAGCCCCGCCCCCCACCTCATTTTCGATCAGCTCTTCCGCCCGGGGGTCACTCTGGCTCAGACGTGGGATGGGCCGGGTCGGAAAGCTGTAACTTCGTAGCTGTGACTCATCCCAGGCGGGGCCCGGAGCTTCCGCCTCATCCCGGGGCTCTCCAGAGCCAGAGGCCGCATCTTCGGCCGCTGTCGCCGCCATCTCTGCTCTAGAGACGGCCCCACCGGAAGCAGAAGCCCCGCCCTTTCCGGAAGCAGCCACAACGGACACCATAGAGATGAGCTGCAAGAGAAACCGGTCCAGACCCTTTAAGAAGGTGAGGCCCTTGGTTGAAGGCGCGCCCCCTACGGTCACCTGCAGCACTACAGTCTAGGCTCCACTCTTGGCTAATTAGTCCCTCAGAAAAGGTACTAACTAATAATTAACCAAATATTAAAAATATTAATGAGACTAACAAAATATTGCTTCCTTGGCATGCTCAAGCCTACAGAGGCAAGGAAGACGACAAATGTAATTAAGCTTTAAACTTCGCTCTCGTGGATGCAGAGAGAAGCCAACGTTAGACCCACTTAAGGAATCAGAAAAACCAATTATCACATAGATCTTGGGTAAAGCTATCCTGAAAGCTTAGGCGTATGATAAATGGCAAGCTGAATTCATTCAGAATCAAGGGAAGACCAAGGACATATAGTTCCAGCTACTCCAGAGTGTAGCAGGAATCTTAGAGAGTCTTTTTAATAAAATCAAACCTGTGGCCAGTTATTGGGGTGAAATGCTGGAAGATCAGAGAGACAGAACAAGCCACAGCTTCCTCACCTGGCCAGTTCCTCAGGTGGTCCTGTTTCCTCAGACTGGAAGCCTCTGTGTCCTCACATCCCAATGGCTTTCAGCTGAACTGTGCTGCTAGAAGCCTGAAAGCTTACCCAGCCAAAGGCTTAACCAGGCCAAATGCTTCTAGTTTCTGGTCCTCATGCCTTATATACCTTTCTGCTTTCTACCATCACTCCCAGGGATTAAAGGCTCGCTTTCTGGGATTAAAGGAGTGAGTCACCATGCCTGGCTGTTTCCAATGTATCCTTGAACACACAGAGATCCAGAGGGATTTCTGTGAGTGCCACCATTTTCTAGCCTTTGTATCTAGTGGCTGTTCTGTCTCTGACCCCAGATAAGTTTATTAGGGTGCACAATATTTTGGGGAAGAAAATACCACCACACCAGAGGCTGAAGCAGGAAAGAGGATCACTTGAACTCAAAAGTTCAGAGACAGCCCAGGCAATGTGGCAAGCTGCCATCTCTCTCTCTCTCTCTCTCTCTCTCTCTCTCTCTCTCTCTCTCTCTCTTTTACAAAAAAAGTAAAGTAAAACCAAGGGAAGAATTCTTTCATTTAGTATCACTTGAATTTTCTGTGTATGTAACCGTTTCTCCTACTTAAATCTATTCTTGCAATGAGACCAATGTTATTCAACCACAGACATCCACATTTTTAAACAATGTACACTGGTTATAAAGACCATATCAGTTGCTTTGCTTGCTTACTAGATAGATAGTTCTAGAGTTGCGCCCCATGATGTGTATGTCCTGTTTAAGTCTCTCCTTAAATGACAGCAAGACTTGTGAACATGACAGGGTAGTGCTCCTGTAATCAGGTCACATTATATGGCAAAGACATAGTCAAAGTCCCTAACCAGTCAATTTCAGGACCATCACAATGGAGACCTATCTTGAGTAGGGCTGACATTATCTCTCTAGCCCTTTAAGTCTGGGCTTATGGGTCAGAAATAGAAGTCGTGGAGATTCGAAGCCAAAGCACATGCTGTCTGGTTTGCCCTGAAGGACCATATGTGCCGCGTGTCAGAGAATGAGAGGTGAATTTGCGTTTTGTTTTGTTTTTTTGTGACAGGGTTCCTCTGTGTAACAGCCTTAGCTGTCCTGGATCTCACTCTGTAGACCAGGCTGGCCTTGAACTCACAGAGATCTGCCTACCTCTGCCTCCTGAGTGCTTGGGATTAAAGGCTTGTGCCACCGCTGCCTGGCAATAGGTGAATTCTTTACAAGCTGAGGAAGACTAACAAAAAAGTGGGGAACATAGTCTTATAAATTCAAGTAGTTGAATTCTGCCAATAACTTCATGCTTATATACAGAGCCTCAAATGACATGGGGAACACTCTGATTTCAGAGTAGTGAGACCCTGAGCTGTGGACCCAACTAACTAGAACCTATACTCATGGGAAATGTGAGATAATAAGTTGGTGTTGTTTGGGCTACTAATTTTATGATTTGTTTAAAGAACACTATAACAAAATTTAACTTAATATGCAGCAACAGAAATTAATACATTGTTTTAATTATATATTTATGCTACATAGAAACTATATAACCAACTGATAACAGGGTTAATTCCATGAAGGAGTTTGGCAGCAGTCAAGGTTTTATCTGTAATGTTTGAATGTTTCCAAATACATAAATTTATAACACTGGAAATTAAAAATACATCAGACCTGGAAGTTCATATCAATAAAATCAGGAATGAATGCAGGAACATAAACTGGACTTTACAAATATAAAAAAAGAATATATATAAAGTACTCTCAACAAGTGTATGTAAAAAATAGAGAATCTAGATGAAATTGAGGAATTCCTGTAAAAACACAAACTATAATAACTGATTCAAAAAGAAATAGAAAAATCTAACTGGACCCAATCAAAACTACATTAGGAAATAATTTTAAATACCATCTAAAAAAGCCTAAAACAATATGGATTCACTGATGAATCCTACCAAACACTTAAAACAGAATTAACAACAATCCTCAGGGACAGAGGAGGAGGGGAGGCTTCCAAATTCATTCTATGAGGCCAGCATTACCCAGCTATCAAAATGAGATAAGGACAGCTAAAGAAAAGCAGATCAATATCCCTTATGAATACACATACAAAAGTCCCCAGCAAAACAAATCTAGTACCATACATATGGTATGCCCCAAAAGGTTTAGGCACCATAACTAAACGGAACTTATTTTTGGAATGCCTGGTTTATTTAACATTTGAAATGTTGATCAATGTAATCTATTAATCGAAGAAAAATATCACATGGTCATCTCAATATTCACAGTAGAACCTTTTGGCAGACTTTAGCATGATATTTTTCATGATAAAAGCAGAGTTCCAAAGGACATCATTGAGACGTAAGAAGATAGGAATGGTGATATAGCTCAGTTGGTAGAGTGCTTGCTAGCACGCACTGAGTCCTGGGTTTGCTGCCAAGCACTATACAAACTGGCTAGGGTAGTGCATGACTATGACCCAGTGCTTTGGAGGTAGAGGCAGGAGAATCAGAAGTTCAAGATCATTCTCAGGTATCTATCAAGTTCTAGGGAAGCCTGGCCTATGTGAGACTCTGTCTCAACAAGAGAAAGGTGTGTGCTACCATGGCCCAGCTACCCCCTCCCCGCTTTATTTTCTCATTCTCTTTGCTACATATCACTAGTCATCAAAGTTAAGCAAATGAAAATGAGATACTGCTATTGGGCCTGCCTCCTCCAGCACTTTGTGCATGTCGTGCACAGATACCCATGGAGGCAAAGCACCCAAACACATCATTTTCTTTTAAAAAAGAATAAATTATTTTGTATATAAATGATATTAGACCTACTTTGTTTCTTGAACCACATGAGATCAGGTCTTGCTATGTGTTAAATGCAGATGTTGTCAAATTAATTCTGATGGTGTCAGGGATTGCTATTAGTTAAATGCAGATGTTGTCAAATTAATTCTGATGATGTCTAGCAATTCTGCAAGGGGACAAAATGCACTGCAATAATCCTCCCCAAATTTACACATTGAAGACGACACGTCTGTGTTTGCTGCTCTGGTACACAGTAAGCAAGGATTCTATTACAGGGATTTTTGTCCTAAGAACTGATAGAAATATGTGCATATGTAAAATATCCACCCCCTACTTGTGTAAGTAAAATGAAAACTTAATAGTATGCAAACATGTCTCCCAGTCGACCGTGTTAGAGTTTGTTAATTGTGTTCGGTTTGAAATCTGGTTTTCCTGGCATTTTCCTGGAGGTTTGGGGCAGTGTCAAGGGAGCCGCCTCTGGTAATAGGCTTGGCTTTCTATTTGTTGGGTTGAGGTGACCGGGACGTTTAGATGAATTGAGACTAAGGAGCCAACTCCGAGCATCTAAGGAAAGGATCAAACAAAACCAAGAGCTAAATCTGAGAAACGACGACGTGTGAGGACGGAAGGTGGAAACGCCGATGGGGCGGGTGGGGGTGGGGGTGGGAGAGGCAAGCAACTTGAGGAAGGAGTAAGCTGGTTTTACTTTGGTCAGTTGTCTGAGACGTTCGGTGGGAACACCCCTGAACGAGCCTCGGGCAGCTGAAGGCGAAAAGGAAAATAAAAAGTAGCGTTGTTTCCTCTCCTTCCTGCCGTCCGCTCGCCGCCTAGGATCTACAGCGTATTTAAAGCCCGCCCAGCTTGACCCGGGAGACCTCCGCGCCGGCTTCAGCGGTCGCGTTTGGCCCGGCTCAGCCACCGTGACTCGCCTTTGCGCATGTGCAGGGCGAACGGCCGCGAAGGTGAAGATGGCGGCGGCCGGGGCTGCGGCCCTGGGAGTCCGGTGGCTGCGAAGGGCAGCCCGCGGTGTGGTGCCCCTGGAGGCACGGAGAGGTCCGCAGGGACGCGCGAGGGGCGGGTGTGGGAAGCGGGTGGCTGACGTTGGCGGCTTCGGGAGGGGGCGTCCCTGGTACAGCGGCGGCGGCGGCGTCCCGGCCGCGGGGCAGGTGCATCAGCGTGTCCGGGAGAGGGCATGGAGGGTTCCCCTAACTCCGACCTCTGCAGTCGTTGCGGCTCAGTGCCTTCTGGGTGGCTAGAGAAGCGGGGCCATCTGACCGGCACCCCTCTGCGCCCAGCCTTCCATATGACCAAGGACATGCTGCCGGGGCCGTATCCTAGGACGCCAGAGGAGCGGGCCGCGGCCGCCAAGAAGTACAATATGCGCGTGGAAGACTACGAGCCGTACCCGGATGAAGGCATGGGGTGAGGTGGGGTCGCGGGGAGGTCTGCTCGCCTTAGGGGCAGTGATGGATGAAGCCCGTGGTGCGATCGGGTGGTGCGACTCTGACGTTTTCTCTCGAACCCTGTGACCCCAGTCAGAGTCAATGGTGTGGGTGCTTTTCTTGGTGGGGGGCGGTGGGAGTGGGTGAGTGAGCAGCTGCAGCCGAGAGGACTTCAATT